GGGGGGGGGGGGGGCGCTGCTACCAGAATCCTCTTCAGTGTCTACATATGTCCTGATTCTAATTCAGCCTGGCTATGCCCTAGCACTGTTTTCTAGGTTTCGATTTATAAATGATGAGATTCATTCTAAAGAAAGAGTTAAGTTTCCTGGTTGTGTTCTAGGCTGGTGAAGTGAAGCTGCACCTGCTTTGTCAATCAGGTCTCTTGCCCTAGGAAACGTGCCCTATTTCATATCACCTGCAGAGCTGGAGACAGCACCCATGTCAGATACAGCGGCAAAGGTAACGGCCTCAGTGGTCAATGCTTCCTGTGATTCTGACTTATAAGTAGAAGGCCTGGTAGGTAGTGAATTCAGATCTTTCCCCATCAACATAAAGCACTGGTAAATACACGCACAGGCACCGAAGGGAGTTAGATTTGGATGTGCGTCCCTGCTCTGCTGTGAATAAGCAGTGTGAACTTGGGAAAGTTACAGTCTCCCCACTTATAAAATAGAATGATACCTCCGCTTCATTAAATCCTTGGAAACTAGAAGTACAGCTATAAAGTTTCTACATAAAACTTTCTTACCTTAAGTGGCAGAGGATCATGGCTGTTTTGGAACTCATGGTCAAAAACAAAAGCAACCATCACTCTTTCAGAGTTATTCTCTCTCCGAACATAAGCTTCAAAGTCTCTTTCTGAGGAAAAGCCTTGAACTGTAGGGAGAGAAAACTCTAATGTGTGAGACGACCACAAAAAGGCAAAATGTCTGACAGTCCTTCCTATCTTTAGAATGGAGAAGCACTTTACATGGATGAAAGGCGATCAAAATACTATGAATTTTGAAACACTGTTGCTGAAACACTGGCATAATGAACGAATGTGTATTTGGAGTGCATAACACTTTTAGGAGTTTTAAAAGTTTTAGCAAAGCTTAGAATATAATTACTGATTATAATAACTGCACAATGAAGGAAGTCTAAGGAAGAGGGGTGATTCACACTGTGTTCTGAAACTTCCACCTTGAAGGGAAATAAGAACAAAATCGACCTATGCAATCTATTCAAAGTCCCATACCATGGGGATCTCTAACATCTAAATAAAAAATACTCAGAAATTGAGGAATAAAACCACTTTATAGTTTTACTATTTGAGGCAATTGTTTCTCTTTTCCTTTTTATTGAATTTATTGGGGCAACAATGGTTAACAAAATTATACATACAGCTTTCAGGTGTACAGTTCTACAACCTATCTGTACACTGCACTGTGTGCTCACCACCCCGAGTCAAGTCTCCGGCCATCATCATTTATCCCGCCTCTACCTCCTCCATCTCCCAACCCCTCCTCCCCCTGTGATAACCACACTGTTGTCCATGTCCATGAGGTTTTTTCTCTTTTTTGCTCAATTCCTCCCACCCTACTCCCCACTCACCCCCGCCCCATCACTGACAGCTGTCAGGCTGCTCTCTACCTGAGTCTGCCTCTATTTTGCTTATTAGTTCAGTTTGTTCATTAGATTCCACATATAAGTGAGATCCTATGGGACTTGTCTTCTCTGACTAGCTTATTTCCACTAGCATAATGCTCCCCAGGTCCACCCATGCTGTCGCCAAGGGTAAGATTTCATTCTCTTTTAAGGCCAAGTAGTGTTCTGTTGCATAAATGTCCCACAGCTTTTTTATCACTCATCTCCTGATGGGTACTTGGGAGGTTTCCAGATCTTAGCTATTGTAAATAACCCTGCTATGAACATAGGGGTGCATATATTCTTCCTGATTGGCATTTCGGGTTTCTTCAGATATATTCCCAGAAGTAAAATTGCTGGATAAGGCAGTTAGTTACATATTTAATTTTTTGAGGAAACGCCATACTGTTTTCCACAGTGGCTGCCCCAGTCTGCACTCCCACCAGCAGTGCACGAGGGTCCCCTTTCTCCACAGCCTCGCCAGCACTTGTTGTTTATTTGTTGATGGAGCCATTCTGAAAGGTGAGGTGATGCCTCATTGTGGTTTTAATTTGCATCTCTGATGATTAGTGATGTTGAGCATTTTTTCATATGTCTATTGGCCACCTGTATGTCCTTTCTGGAGAAGTGTCTATTCAGGTCCTTTGCCAATTTTTTAATTAGCTTGTTTTTCATGGTGTTCAATTTTGTAAGTTCTTTATAAATTTTGGATATTAACCCTTTATCAGATGTATTGGTGACTTCTTTTCAGCTGGTCTTCAGTTGGTTATTCAGGTCAATTGTTCTATAATTTAGTCATAATTCCAGTTTGGTCCTGGGAGGAGGTGAGTGTAGCTTTCACCTGCTCCATTACCATCTTGGATCCTTGTTTGCCACAATTATGTTTCAATATTTGAGGTGATCAATCAATGAATTTAGCCTAAATTAAATTTAACCTAATTAAAAGGTTTTTTTTTAATGTGGCATCACTTGTAGTCTTAAGACATAATATTTAGTCATGTAAATATCTGTGAGTTTGTATACACTAAACATTTTCTTAGGAGTAAACATCTTTTTTTCTTAAATTATCTCAAATTTGGCCAATAGGAGCCTGTAAAATTAGTTTTGATGTTAACAGAATAACAAAGGCTTCAACAGCCCACAGGTGCAAGTGAAGTTCCATGCTCTCTTACTACTAAGATGTCAATGGCTTGACTGCATGATCGGATTCTCAGAAACTTCCAGAAGAAGCCCATTATTACCATATGTCTATTGGCCACCTGTATGTCCTTTGATGGCATAGCTTGTGAGAACACCAATCTTCACCAAAGGTACTATCTCATGCTTCTAAAGTTCCCATTCACAAGGGACACTTTCCTCAAGCATTTGTCACACTTGTCACGTGGGTTCCCAGGTATCATTTTCTGAATCTCACAAAAACTATCATAAGATCAATTCCCTCAGCTACTTCCCTCCACTCATTTTCTGCAAACAAATCTATAAAAAACAACACTCTCAACTCCAAAAACGTAGCAGCATCTGTACATATGGAAACTTGGTGGAAACACCTAGATTATCATCATCCAAAATATCTGCATTTATGTCAATGTGGTGGTTGGGCATTTGCTATATATATGCATAAAAACACAGTCAAACTTCGTTTCTCAAATGTCTCCCATCTCAAACAATTCAGTTCTCGACCAAGTTGTTCACGCTTGGCTGTCTAACCAAACTTCGGTTGTTTAGACCTGACAACCCTTCCATGCTGATACCTGAGCATGACAAAAAGCTTCTCTCAGGCAACAAAGAAAAGAGAGAGTGCTTTTGTTGCTGGTGAAATAGATTAGCACAATTTTAACACATAAGGAGGCCATCAAGAGTGCTAATGTTGTGAAGGGTGTGAAAGAAACAGTGACCAAAAGCAACTGAAGAGAGAAAAACTGTGTCAATTTGGATAAATGCAAAAGCAGTCAGCCAGTGACAGCATTTGGGAAGCAGTGATACGTGAAAAAGTGAAGATGCCGCACGCTGGCCTCCTGAAAGACACCCCTGGAACAGGTTCTGAAAGTGATTTGTTTAAGGTTAGTAGGGGGTGGTTCTATAAGTTTAAGAAAATAAGTGTTTATCAATAGGTTAAACAGTACATTAGACATGTACTGTATATAAGAAAGGTTAAAATAGGGAATCATTTTGGGGGGCCTGGAATAGATTAATTTAATTTACATTATTTCTAATGGGAAAAAATGATTCAGTTTTCAAACAAATTGCTTCTCAAACAGGCTTCTGGAATGAATTAAGTTTGAGAACTGAGGTTCCACTGTATAATTGTCATAAACAAAGGAACAGGAAGAAAAGAATGAAGTCATAGACTCCAGAACTGACTCTGATTCTTGTGTTCCTGGGCCAATGTTTGGCCTTACAAGAATATGTCTCCAAGACATGTTCCTGAAGTAGCCACTAGAAGAAAGAGCCAGGTAACCAGTAGCTAAAGAGTCTACAGCCAGAATCAAAGTCAGTGGGCTTATACCTGAGGCCTGGGTGGGCGTGATTCCTCCCAGGTCCTAGGCCAATAGTGCTGATGGCAGAACCAAGGCCAAACAGGGCTATAACTGAGGCCATTTCCAGATATGTGGCTGGGATCATGATAAGTGAGCAGGTGGGGCCAAGAAATTCTGATTAATACCTAAATGGGGTCTAGTCCATGACCGTGCGGAATATGTATCATTACACAGCCCATAAGGAATTTTTATACAAGTTAATCATGTATTAAGACACACAAAAGAACATCAATATTCTGAGGAATCAACATCGTAAAGACTTCATTCTCTGAATATAATGTAAAAAACTTGGAAATAACCAGCAGAAAATTTAAAAATTCTCATACAAGGACTTCCAGTTTTCTGCCTATGATAGAGTAGCTTACAATAAGATTAAACTTTCCGACTGCACAAAAGTTGGACAAAATCTTTAAAACTGCTTGAAATGCACAAGGTGAATGCCATATTAACCCTGGTATTGTCTTTGAAAGCATTTGCAAGAAGTTGCTGACTTACTGAGTTGAACAGAAAGAGGTGAGAGTTCCGGCTGCCAAAATGGCTGGGACTTAAGGGGCAAAATTCCAAAGAGAAGAGAATAGCAGAGAAGTGAGGTGAAAATTCACCATGTACATTCCCCTGAAGTCATCAGCCAGCTCTGACAGTGGAAAGGCACAGGAACAGGCTCCAAGAAACCAGCAGGTGGTAGGATACATGTGGAGCAGTGACTGCAGCAGCTAGGCGATGCTCAGGAGGCAGAGAATGGAGTTCAAGCCTCACAAAGGTGGAAGCGCCTTCAAAAATACTCCAGACTTCCAGCTGACACCCTAGAAGGGCCATGCCCTAGGAGTAATGACCACACCCCAGGGCAAGAGGTATCCCTCAGGAGTAAAGTGAAACTGAATAGAGCAGTCCTTATTGAAACATAACACCAGTCTTCAATGGAATCAAACTGACAACCATCTAGAAGAAAACTTAAACCTTCTTAGGATAAAAAAGTGTTCTCAAGAGCCTCTAATACTTTTCATCTACACTATCTGTCATTAAAATATGTAAGACATATTATAAAACAGAACTCAATGACTTAAGAGAAAAAAATATATACAAGTAATGCAGATATCAGAACTTTTTGGTAGGGATTCTAAAGTAACTATGGTTAATATAGCCAGTAAACTTAAAAATAAAACATTTCTTTAGAGACCTGGAATCTATTAAAACAGAGAGAAATGGAAAATTTCAGAACTGAGAAATACTTTTTAAACAATTCAACAGAAAGGCCACACCCTAATGATTTCAAAATATATAAGCAAAAAGAAAAATTTAATATTATTTTAATATGTATAACCTTTTTAATATTAATGACACCTAGTTGGAAATTTAATACCATCCTCAACAATTAATAGAATAAGTAGATAAAAACAGTAAGAGCACAGGAGACTTGAAAAGTATGGTGATTAATGAGCTTGACAACTTGGCCTAGGTGACATTTGGAGAACACCGCAAACAAACACTACAGAATACAGTCTTTACAAATGCACATGAACATTTATCAAAATATACTATGAACTAGCCAGGAACAATTCTCAAAATTTCAAACAACAGACATTATAGAGTATATGCTCCAATTCAAGAAAATTAAAATAGAAATCAACAACAGAAAGATAACAACAGAGGCGGAAACAGGATGGTGGCGTAAGAAACAGCTGTACCTGCCGCCTCCCACAACCACATCAAAATTACAACAAAACACAGAACCACCGTCACTCAGAGCCTCCTGAAATCTGGCTGCACAGAAGCCCCACAACCAGGGAACTGAAGCAGCACCAAGAGCGGGAGGAGGGGTGGAGATGGGGGCGGATCGGGGCTGGATCAAGGAGATGCAGCTGCGGGCCCACACCCGATGCCATGGGGTAAACCCAGGAGGACTTCTCAGGGTGGAGGTTTCCCCGAGAAGGGAGGGGTCCCAGCCCCACATAAGCCCCCAGCCAAGGGCTCCAAGGCCGGGAAGAGACGTCCCCACACCTTCAGGATGTGACACCAGCGGGGACTGTCGCTGAGAGTCGTGGAGGCTGCGGGAGCCCCAGCACCTCCCCTTAAAGGGCCCTCGCACGGACTCACTCGGACGCCCTCCCTCTGAGCCGAGCACTGGGCAGCAGCTTGAAAGGACCCGGGACACTCAGGGAGGAACTAACCTGCCTGAAACCCGAGCGAGAGCTGGAGGGGCAGCTTCCTCCCAGGCAGAAGGGCTGGCAGAGGCCATGGCTCCTTTGACCAGTCCTCCCCGCACACAGCTGGTAGGCAGGAGCCATATTTGAGTTGCCAGCACCTGACTCGCACCTTTGGCCCAGCCCCCTGATTCCCGGAGGCCCCGCCCCTCCCCACCAGCAGCTCATCCAGGCCATTTCCAGGGGCTTTTCTATGCAAGTGGCCTCTCGAGCCTCATGCTTAGGACTTTCCTAAAATCTCTCAAACAAGCAGCAGCGGGCCCCATACAGCTTGATAAGTGGCCCCAGGCCTGGCACTAGTGGCAGCCTGCATTGGCTCATAGCTGGGCCTCTCCTGGGCACCTCCAAGCCCAGCACAAGTAGCAGCCAACTAAGGTTTGCTGAGTAGCTCCTGCTGGGTGGCCCTAGGCAGGGCACTGGCAGAGGCTGACTTTGCACCTCCCCGGAAGCCCCAGAGATAGAGCACCTGGTGGTCAGACTGTATCACACTAGATTACAACCCTACCACATCCACGAGTGACACACTCAAGGGGCACACTTGGTGAACACCAAAGCTCCACTGAAGTAAATCCTGCTCCACAGGGGTGTCTCCAGCACAGCACCTCCTCAGCTGTACTTGCACCTGGTCCTCACAGCCAATTGGCCTGGGGATCAATTCCTCCCAGTGATACCAACAGCAACCAAGACTCAACTACAACAGGACAGTGCACACAGCCCACACAGGGGAGCACCTAGAAGGCTCAGCTCAGCTGACTGGGGAGGCTGAGCCACTGGACTCTACAGGACACCTACTACACAAAGCCACTCTACAAATTCCAGGAGACATAGCAGCTCTACCTAATACATAGAAACACACACCAGGAAGCAGCCAAAATGTGGAGGCAAAGAAACATGTTACAAAGGAAAGAACAGAAGAAATCTCCAGAAAAGAAACTAAATGAAATAGATCCTAGCAAGCTAACAGATACAGAGTTCAGAATTTTGTTTACAAGGATGCTCAAGCATATTATTACGAAAATAGTTGAGAAAATCGATGACATAATGAAGTACCAATTTGAAATGAAGGCTACAGAAACTGAAATGAAGAATAATTTACAGGGAATCAACAGTAGAGTAGAGGATGCTGAGAATCAAATCAGCAATTTGGAACATGAGGAAACAAAAAACACCCAACCAGAAGAGCAAAAAGAAAAAAGAATCCCCAAATATGAAGATAGTATAAGGAGCCTCTGGGACAACTTCAAAAGGCCCAACATTCATATTATTGAGATGCCAGAAGGGGAAGAAAGAGAGCAAAAAATTGAAAACCTATTTGAAAAAATAATTACAGAAAACTTCCCCTACCTGGGGAAAGAAATTGACTTACAAGTCCAGGTAGCACAGAGAGTCCCAAACAAGAGGAACCCAAAGAGGCCCACACCCAGATACTTCATAATTAAAATGCCAAAGGTTAAAGACAAAGAGAGAATCTTAAAAGCAGCAAGAGAAAAGCAATTGGTTACCTACAAGGGAGTACCCATACAAGTGTCAGCTGATTTCTCAACAGAAACTTTGCAGGCCAGAAGGGAGTGGCAAGAAATATTCAAAGTGAAGAAAAACATGGAACTACAACCAAGATTGCTCTACCCAGGAAAACTATCATTTAGAATTGAAAGTCAGATAACGAACTTCACAGATAAGAAAAAACTAAAGGAGTTCATCACCACCAGACCAGCACTACAGGAAATGTTGAAGGGTCTTCTTTAAGAAGAAGCTAATGAACAAAAGAATCTGATGAACTTAATAGATCCAGAGACATTGATGCATTAAACAGACGATAGTATTTCAGAGGAAAGAGGGAAGGGGGTTGGAGGGTGGGAAGAGATTAACCAAAGAAGTTATATGCATATATGCATAACCCATGGACAGTAACAGGGTGAAGACCTGGAGAGGGGGTGGAAGCGAAGTGGAGGGGGTCAACTGGGGGGGGAATGGGACACCGGTAATACTTTCAACAATAAAAATAAATTTTTTAAAAATGCCAAAAAAAAGAAAGAAAGATAACAACAATACCCCAGATGTTTGGAAGTTAAGTAATACACTTTTTAAAATCCCACATATCAAAGAAGAAATCAGAGTGGAAATTACAAAATATTTTGGGTACCCCAAAGTAGCCTGTAAGAGACTAAATTTATTAGAATATTTGTGTTGTATACTTCAAAAATTGGGATTTTTTTCATTTTTCTGCTTCGGTATGTGTTTTTTTTAAATAAAAAATGTTCTGAGATATCATCTACTTTCAAGGACTCCCTTGAGAAACAAAAAAAGATTGAAAAAATACACTACTGAATAAACATATGTGTGTAACGAGAGGGGCACTGGAGAGATGCCCACCAAACTTCTGATGATTTTTATCTCTGGGAGAAAGAGGAGAGAAATTGAGTTGAGAATGTGAAGGTAAGTGGAGAATGGGGAACTTCTGTAATAATTCTAAATAGCCCAAGTCTTCCTATGTGACTTCCTATGCAGCAATCCTACTTGACTCGGGCAGCATTCTTATATAAGCAATGTTTGAAATAACTGATGACTGCATGTGCATCCAGAACAAGGGCTCATGCGTATGCCATGGTTCTGAGTACCTTTGGCATACCATCTGGCATACCATCATGTGCCCTGGGAGTTATACACACAGAGGTTTAAATAGCACAATCAGAAACAAGAAAGACTTAGTATCACAGAATTGGATAATAACCTAAATAAATTTTCTTTGGGAGAAAATATTTTCATGTGAATTTAACTCTCAAGTTTAAACAAGTCCATAATATTATACTTAGGAGGTTACTATCTGGTTTGAGGATATCCTATAATGTTTTACTTGGAAGATTATGCCCAGTGAAAAGGTAAGTGTGTCTTCACTAAACCAATTTAATAATGCTTTTTTGTTTCAGAAAACCTTAATGTCTAACCTTTAAAATTGTAGTTTAAATTCTTTTTCACAGTTTCAACGATATTCTTCACCACAACACTTTTGGAAGGCACGAAAGCCAATTCCCACAGACCAAAAGAGGGGACGCGTTTGAGGAATGCAGGCAACTCATCAACACGCTGAGGAGGGTACCTGAAAGGCCCAATCTTCTGTAGATCCATAATCCTGCGTGTAAACAAAATCACGCCGGCAAACAGTAATGTCAGGATGATTTCCACAACTATACCAACAATGTGCCGCTTCTATGAGATGAAAAAAAAGATTGTTAATTACCTTAGAGTATTTTAACTTGGCAAATGGCTAATTATTTTATATTAACGGGCACTTCATAAAAGAATATATAGATGGCCAAAAAACAAACAGTTCAATTTACACTAGCAGCAGTTTCCTAGACTTTTTTTCTCCTTCCTAGGAGTCATTCTGCTGTTATCTCACTCTATGAGGACTCCACATAACTGGAAAAGACAACCCCAGCTCTAGAACTGAGAAAACTACAACAGCACGAACTGAACTTCAGTGATCAGGCTGCCAGAATCACCTCGTGACGATCCGATAAATAGCTCAACTTACCTTTAAAATAAAATTCTTCCACAGAAGAACCATAAATTTGTTCAACTCCAATAAATCCATTCTTCAACTCTATGGAGGAAGTAAAGTTTTTTTGTGTTTTTGTGTTGTTTTTTAATTAATATTATCTAAAAAAAAATGCAAATTTTAGACAATTACTTAAATTTGAAATACTTAATTTTCTCTCAATCTGAAAAGATGACAGAAACAAAAAGCATCTGAAATATTGAGAAGTTGTTTATCCCCTGTTTTTAATTTACTCAGCATATGCTGAGCTTCTAATAACATATAAAACTTCACGCACAAACAGTGGTCAATGAGCTATTGATGTAAGTTTCCAGGTAAATTAGGCCAGTAGCTTTTCCACTTCTTTTCAAAATACTAATTCAGAAACAATACAAAACAAATAAATCATTGCCATTGGCAAAAAAACAAAAAACACATAAAATCACATCACACCTGTAAGCTCAATGTCCCACTCAATTATTTGCGAAACTGGAAATTCCTACGTTAACATTACTGATAGGAGCAGATTCACTCTTATATTTATTAAATATTTTCTGAATATCTACTATGTGCCATGTTAAGTGTGGGTACACTGTGGGAAACAAAACAAACAAAACCCTTCCCTCATGGTGTGTGGGTAGCCTGGTAGGTTATTATAACCTAGGATGAGAGGACAGACTGTCTAGATTGACTTCCCAGCTCTACCGCTGACTGTGTGACCTTGAACACTTGACTTAAATTCTTGGCACTACCAGAAAGAGAACTGAAATTCAGGGCCAAGAAGGGGAGGCGTTTCCTATAAATAAGAATGTGAAGGAGACTGGCCTTCACAGGGATTGCAGCCCAATTTCAAGTAATTTTGATCCCCGATACCAGATGAAGGTGAACCCAGATCACAAATGCCTATAGGTGCCTGGCATAAAAAATAAACCCAGGCTTTGCTCAGGGATGGGTCATGAGTGTGAGCAGGCTGAGGAGAGAAAAATAATATATGGGAAAAAAGGATATGAACCAGTTATGCTGCAGACAAAACTAACCCATATTCTCCCTCCTCCACCTTCTCCCTCCAACTTGACCATATAATTCCCTTAGCAGGCTTCCATTCCCAAATTAAAACTCAGCGCTAAAGAAATCCTGAAGGACAGACATGACCACTAACCTAAGTTTTCACTGAGTTGTAAGCTGATCTTACCAAGTAAAGTTTTTGGAGAGGAGCTGGAAAGGGTCAGAGCACCAGGACAGCCGCCCAGGATCTGGGGTTGTGAGTAACAGAGAAGAAGAAATGCTGGATTCCTGACAGAAAGACCGCTTATGTGGAGGCCGAGGTTAAAGGGAGTGGAGATGATGGCAGAATAATTGTTGAGACAACAGATGGAAAGTGTCCGAGTGTCAAGGAGGAGAAAGTTCAGAAGCTGAATCTACCGGAGCTCGAAGTGATTGAAGGCATGGCCACGCTGACTCACCTCGGTGAAGCCACTGTGCTGCAGACCCTGAAGAGACACTATGGCCATTGGATGATTTACGTTCCTATATATGCTTTATTGCTGAAATATTTGTTATGTTGGCACTCACATTGGCAACATCCCAGCCCTCTCTTGGGTGAAAAAGTTATAGAATTTAAGCATAGTCACATGGAGATGAGCCTTGAGGAATGCCCACAGGAAGGGTCCTTGTCTTAGCATTTCCCAGCTTTATTTCCCAGAAGTCCTGCTAAAGTAAAGGCATGAGGCTTGGAGCCCGATAGACCAGTGTCTAAACGCCAGCTCTGTCACTTACTAGTTGGTACATTTCTCACCTTGAAGTCACTTTTACAGTAAAGTGGGCTAATAATGCCTGTCTCTCCAGGGTAGCTTGGAGGGTTTAGTCAAAGAAAGTAGGTAAAGCATGTAGTTCAGTGCCTACTACCTAGTTAGTGCTCAATAAATGGAATGGTCTTTTTTCCCTCATCATTAAATTGGTGAGGGTGATTGCTGAGGCTTTTTTATTTACTCAGCACCTATTCCACAGAAGGAGCACTGAAAAGATTAGGCTACAATGATGGCATTTGGGATCCATTACTATAGAAGCCTTGACATGCAGGCAGCTTGCTCCTTGGCTCTCTGATTTACCATGTGACTGTATTAGTTTCCCTGGGATGCTGTAACAAAATTACCACAAACTGAGAGGCTCAAAACAACAGACATTTATTCTGTCACAGTTTTAGAGGCCAGAGTCCAAAATTGAATCAGCAGTCACCACCCCCATCCCCCCAAAAGAGCCTCTAGCAAACAATCATTAAAAATAAATAAAATAAATAAATAAATCCACTTTGGAGAAAACTAATATTATCCTGGAGTCAACTATTCCAGGATATAAGCAATTTTTCTGAATCTAGGCCAAAATTATCAGAAGCAAAATTTAAAATAATTATGCTTACCACTTTCTTTTTTTTTCTTTATATTGAATTTATTGGGGTCACACTGGTTAACAAAATTATACAGGTTGCAGGTGCACAATACTATACAACACATCACCTATACACTGTATTGTGTGCTCACCACCCCAAGTCAAGTCTCTGGCCATCAGCATTTATCACCCAAAATACCCTCTTCCACCTCCTCCCGCCCCACCCCCCAGCAATCACCACACTGCTGTTCTTGTCCATGAGTTTTTTCTTTCTTTTTCTTTTCTGCTCAATCCCTCCCCACCACCACCACCCCCTGCCAACCCCGAAATAGCTGTCAGCCTGCTGTGCAGCCACTGTGGAAAGCAGTATGTGGAGTTACCTCAAAAAATTAAAAATGGAACTGCTTTATGACCCATTGATTCCACATCTGGGAATTTATCCGAAGAAACCTGAAACGCTAATTCAAAAGAATATATGCATCTCTAAATTCATTGCATTTTACTTACCATAGCTAAGATTTGGAAGCAGCCCAAGTGCCCAGCAACGGATGAATGAATAAAAAAGCTGTGGGACAGCCCTGGCCGGTGTGGCTTAGTGGTTACGGTGTTGGCCTGCACACCAAACGGTCGCAGGTTCGATTCCAGGTCAGGGCATGTACCTGGGTTGCAGGTTCAATCCCCAGCCCTGGTCAGGTTGTGTGCAGGAGACAACCAATGGATGTGTCTCTCAAATCGATGTTTCTCTCTGTCTTTCCCTCTCCCTTCCACTCTCTCTAAAAATCAATGGAAACAATATCCCTGGGTGAGGATTTAAAAAAAAAAGCTGTGGTGCATTTACACCGTGGAATGCTACGCGGCTCTAAAACAGAAGGAACTCGTACCCTCCGTGACAGCACAGAGGGCCCCGGAGAGCGTCATGCTAAAGGAAATAGCCAGGCGGAGAGACAAGCACCATAGCATCTCGCTTATATGTGGAATCCAATGAACAAAATGAACTAACAAACCAAATAGAGACGTGCTTACCATTTTCAAGGCGAAAAATAAAAGGTTTAGAAATTCTACAAACGGTCATTAGATCAGGATTTCAAAGGATGGTGGAAGAAGGGCTCCTAGGCCTAAACATGAAATCTGAACTAATAAAACTACCAGGTAACAGACAGGAGAGTATCTGTGACCTAGGCAGAGATTTCTTAAAGTACAGAGGAAAAGCACAAATCATTAAAAAGGGCTTCATCAAAGTCTAAAATTTTTGCTCATCAAAGACTACCATCAGAAAAATAAAAAGGAAAGCCAGGGAGGGGGGCGAAAATATTCCAAACACCTATATCTAACAAAAGCCTTGTCCGGAATATAGAAAACATTTCTACAACCCAATAATAAAAAGAGAACCCAAACTTTTAAAAATAAGACATAAACTTGAACAGACATTTAATAAAAAAAGATATATAGGGGAATGACATCATTCCTCCTCACCAGATCGACTAGCAATACTCCGTAGACAAGGCAACATTATGAAAACCACAAAACTGTGCTGAGCTGAGTGGGTGGTCCCATCTGGCCGGGGTGCTCAGTGGACAGTTCTGCTTGATTTGGGTCCACAGCCAGTCAACGTGATTGACCATGGAGCCTATTTCATGACCCAACCTACACAGGGAAGCAAATTCATTCAGCAACTATAGAATACAGTACAGAGATTCCTCAAAAAATTAAGAATAGATCTACCAATGATGCGGCAATTCCACTTGCAGGTATATTTCTGAAGGAAAACGTCGTTACCTCAGAAAGGCACCTACACTGACTGCCACATTCACGGCAGCATTATTTCCACTAGCCAAGACAGGGAAACAGTCTACATGTCTGTCAACAGATGAATGGACGCAGAAAATGCATATATATGCAGTGGACTACTATTCAGCCATAAAAAGGGAAATGCTGCCATTCTCAATGTGTATAACCCTTGAAGGCGTTCTGCTTAGTGAAATAAGTCAGACAGAGAAAGACATGCTGTGTGATATCATTTATATGAGGAATCTAAAAGACTGAATTCATGGAAACAGAGTATAGATTGGTGGTTGCCAGGGGTGGGGAAAATGGGTGAAAGTGGTCAAGAAGTGCTAACTTCCTATTGTAAGATTAATAAATTCTGGTGACTACAGTTAGTAATACTGTATTGTATGTTTAAAAGTTGCTAAGAGAGTAAATCTAAAAGTTGTACACAAAAAATTATAACTATGTGAGGTAATGCATGTGTTAACTAAACTTATTTTGGTAATCATTTTATAATATGTACCTATATCAAATCATTACATTGTATGCCTTAAACTTATACAATAATGTACGTCAATTTTATCTACTAAATCTGGGGGAAAAATATATATAGTCAAAAACCACAGGAGCTGGGCCGGCATGGCTCAGCAGTTGAGCATCAACCTAGGATCCAGGAGATTGCGGTTTGATTCCAGGTCAGGGCGCATGCCCAGGTTGTGGGCTTGATCCCCCAGTAGCGGGTGTGCAGGAGGCAGCTGATCAATGACTCTCTTATCATTGATGTTTCTATCTCTGTCTTCTCCCTTCCTCTCTCTAAAATCAATAAAAATATGTATTTTTAAAGCACAGGAAACATTTTTAAAAATGGACTACAGTCCTTAACAGACACCTGAAACACAGAAGGTGTACAAATAAGCATATAAAAATGCTCTATATCATGTCATCAAGGAAATGCAAATTAAAA